AAGTAAGTTAATTAATTTGTCATTGTGTAGACTCAGATCACCCAAGAAATGGTTAATTTGTACTTATGGTACAGCAAAGCCCCCTCCCCTTCTCTGTCAGATTACTCTCACGTAATCAGTGCAATCTCGTTGATTATGTCTGGAAAATGAGTTGTAGACGTGACGGTAAATTAATTTAATGAAAATAAAATTATACTTTTAATGTCAGATTGTAATACTGTTAAAAATATAAATACATATAGTTGTTTCGAAAACCTGGAGGCAATTTTGGCCCCCGGAACATGGCTTTTGGGGGCATTCTTGGATAAATTGCGGGCCAAATGGCCCATGGCCCTTGCTAATTTCTGACACTGCTTTACACCAAGGTGAAGTGGTAAAATGGGCAGACTGTCACCATTAGTACAGTAGCCACACACACAGATGTACACCATGAGTAGCTGGTCAGGTGGTTGATCCCAGACACAGCTCCCTGACTGCTCAAACACGCAGACACACACATTCCCTCCCTGTGCCTCCCTCCTCCCTGTACAAATTAGTTAAGTCACTGAACTCAAAAGCCTCAAAACAGGTAAGGAGCAATCTGTTTTACCAAGGTGTTATTTCTTTGACTTCTGCACAGTATTCTCCTCCTCAGCTGATTGTTGTGTTTACTTGTCTGTGTCTTGTCTAGCCTTGCAGTCTTAGCCTCTTTTTACACTGTGATGAACATGCTTCCAGGCCACAGAGCATCAGCCGTGCACCTGCACCTTGCCACAGTGAGCACTCGCTGTTTTGCATCGCAGCTCCTTGATTCCACCTGAGAAATTCAGGACTATACACAGCATCTTCCCTCAGTGACACTGTCTAAACTCAGTGGCTTCAACCTACAAAACTTGAGCTTGATGTGGTATTTGTTGTCGTGTAACAGGATGTTTGAGTCAGTCAGAAGTTCTGGGAAGTTGTGGCCTGTGTTCATTGGTTTTATGTGAACCTGCATGTGTCACAGTGGGCCACAGCCTAATTTCGTACCACAGAGGGTTGCAAGGTATTTGCTGAACGATAGGGTGTGTCAGCCTCATTTTCCTTAAGGATAGGTTGGACTTTTCTTGGCCATTGATTTATCTTAATATTAAGTTGATGAAAAGTTATCGTACTAACATACAGTGTGTCTTCCAACTACTACCTGTGCTGAGTCTGTCATATTGAGCTCTATAATCACACTGGCTGTCAAAAGGCTTTTAACATGACTGTGAATGTGCCTGGTACTTGAGTCAGGAGATTTGCAGGAGACCAACCGCACAGCTCATGACAAATTCCACAGAATAGCTACTCTTGATCAGAGGATTGCTGGTTTGACGTGTCAAAATGACCACCTTGATTGGCCTTTTTTTTTTTCTGTAAGTGTTTTTGAAGCAGTAGCGGGTGGTTGTCCATGTAATTACCAAAGTGTAAACATAAGGTGAGGCCTGTCCTTCTCGTGGATATTTGAGCTAAGCCATGATGATTTCATACTCTGTCTGCCCGTGTCGCTGACGTCTCACCGTGTGGCCTCACCAATGTTGAATGAATGCTTACAGGAAACACTGAGGGGTGAGCTGAAAACAGTTATTTCTCTCGCTGTCTTCAGTGATTGTCAGCAGAGATATGTCACTTCACTCCGGTGTCTCATCTGTCTCTTACTTTTCTGAATTTCATGATACAACAGCAGATTGAGGTCCTCTAAGATGCCCACAGAATCTGCTGTGAGTTGAACCCATGTGGCAGCTGACATCTGCCCTCTCTTGAGCACCTCAGGCTTTATTAAGAAACCCTCCACTCTGATATGTTTGCATATTTGTCATCTGACTCAAGAACAAATCGTGTTCTCGCTCCCCACTTTGTGCAGCTTTTGGTTGTATAGCTCCCTGGCATTAAAAAAGCGATAGCTTAATTGTTTCTGATGTAACCATCACCTTGAGGATCACAGATCTGCATCAACACCTCTCTCTCACACGTCTTATTCAAATCACTAATGCACACAATACCAAATATTGCTAGAAACCATTAAGAGAAAGCTCTACTGGGGGTTATAGCCCATTTTTCTAAAGCAAATATGGTTATTGGCTTGATTGATTTTTAAGAAGGTATATTGCGACAAAAAAGGATCAGTTACAAAAACAAAACATGTAACTACGCTTTACTTGTTTTGCAACCAAAAGGCTAAGAGAGATTTTTATCCTTTACTCTTCCTTTAGTTTCCCTGCAGACAAAGGCTTGCTACTGATGGGAAGGATGTGTACTGTCGCGTGAGAGTCATATGAAACAGCTTAAGGGTCAAAGCCAGTTGTTTTTTTTGTTTTTTTTCATGAGGGAAATAACAGGGTTCCTGTTCTGTTGTCATTAACCTGGAAAAGACACGAGGAAATATTTTTGAGACAGAGAGTAGTGTATCGAAAAAAGTTTTTGGAATAAGCTTTATTTATAAGATCTTTGTAGGTAAGTTTTGTAGTCGTTCAGCCAGGTCAATTGACAAATTGTTTTGACAGAACACATTTACACTTGTGGTAACTGCAGTCTGGAAAAAAAGTATCCTCATGTTCCATTAAGGTATATTCTTTCTTCACAAGCACTTTATATCAAAAGGATTGCAGTTGTTTGTATACTTGTCCAAGACATTTGTAATTTTAATTGTAGTTTAAAGCTTGCTGCAGGGCAGTAAAAACCACAACCAAATGTATTTCTACAAAACAGTACTCTCTTTGAGCTAACACAAGAAAGATTATTGATGTACCTCATACACTATGATTTACTATTGAAACGTCACTCTGTGACAGTGTTACATGTGTATTCTCATTTCAACATATGAAGTTATGCTTGCATGAAATCCTTAAAAACAAAGCTACTGTTTTTTAACCACTGCCACCATTATATCCAATGGAAAAATAAGATGTAAATGTTGCAGCTTTTTATACCTATTCCTCCAAAAAGGCTGTTACTGAAGCATTATACGATAATGAAAACCTTTCAAGGTTCACAAGGAGCTGTTGTTGTTCGAGGTGGTAATGACCACCTGTGTTAGATCAGGCCCTCTGTTGTACACGTATCTCAGTACTTATCATAGAAACACTTCACAGTATCAGATAACAACAAAACAACCTAACGACAGTTTTTTTAAAGTCAAAGTTTACCTTAAGATACCAAACAGCTGGGTTTGCATTTTAACATCAGTAGCTCAGAATTGATTGCATCAGTTCCTCTTCTACCAATTCTGTCAAGTTGCTTGTTGTGCTCTTACCTTGATTGGTTATTGAATGGAGCCATTTGTTCACTTTTTGACTTGTCAGAGTGGGAAAAGCACATGTGTTATCATTAGTGATAGAGCTACTCTGTTGAGGTGTCTCAGTAAAAACTGAACAATTTCAGGACTCTGAAACTGAAGTGGCTAAATGGAATTCAGCTATCACCAATTTTATTTACACCTGTGATTTTCCTACTGTGACATTTCAACATGTGATCAGTGATAAAGGTCCATCATGGCCTCAATAATGGGGCCAACAGAGTTCTAACAGGTCACACATATTGAAAAGCATGTTGTTGTGAATACTGTTCTATTCTATCTGTGCAAGTTTCAAGTTCGAGTTATTAAAAGAAAGACACTTGTTAGCAAAAGAGCTTAGATTTGGAAAATACATTAACAGTTTCTATGAATGATTGCTGACTGTTTAATGTCATACCTAGCCAAGTTAGTTATGCTATTTGGTGGGGCATAACATGAGAGAAGTGTCATTACATAAAAGTGACTATGCATACACTTTATATGGTGAATCCCAGAATAAATAACCAGATTATGCTCAAATTGTTTGGGCGAGAAGGGTGTGGTAGTGGCAGGAAAAAACAGAACCACCTTCTAAAGTTGGTAGCCAAATACAGGTCATGAGTGACCAATTATTAAAAAGCAAAATCTCAAAATATCCATAAAAGTACCTTTAAAATTTCTCAAACTTTTTGTTTGGCATTATGCAGGTTTGAGGTATTAATCTGTAACCTCAATACAAATACGCTTTCCCTATAATATTGCTGAAGCTACTGCCATTGCAGTTTGTAAATGAGCCACAGGTCATTCATTCATTCTCAGCCATGGATGGTTAATATCACAAGGCTGGCACACAGAGACTGGCAATCATTCATGCTCACATTCACATCTACGGCCAATTTTTAGAGTCACCAATTAACCTAACCTGCATGTCCTTGGACTGCAGTAGGAAGCCAGAGAACCTGGATAAAACCCCTGCTGACATGCGGAGAACATGCAAACTCCACACAGATGGGATCTAGCCGGCTGGCGGTGCAAACACGGATCCCTCCTGCTGTGAGACGACAGTGCCACAGCAGCACCGTGCCACCCTACTTTTGAGGTATTGACTGAAAATTACGCAGTACCAAGTAGTACTGAAACGCTTCCAGTCAAACAATACCTGGATTTAATGCTTATTGCGTCAGGGGTCTGATCCCAGATGGTCCTGTCTCTTGACTTTCAGTAGCTGCCGTCTCTGCAGCTGCTCTCCTCCCAGCGAACCCAGTTCAAAGTCTGCCGGGTAAGCAGGAGCTAACATAGCAGCAGCAGCTTACATCTAAGGAAGAGTCATTGAACGATCCCGCAAATTCACCCTGATACCGAAATGGCTTGACTCTGTTAATAACTATTAGCCTACCCTAACCTTTAGCTGTTTTATGCTAACAGTTATCCCTGTAACTGTGGCTACAACCAGAACAGTGTGTGGTGTGGGGAAGTTGAGTGCTGAGTTTTTGATGTAGTTGGCAATACAGCGTGTGGAGATGCTACAAAAATATTCCAAAGTCTGACTTAAGGGTACCTTAAGGGTGCTATGACTGGCACTGGTATCTTAATTTTTTTAAGATACCCAGTCTATGAGCACTCTGTCAGATAAGTGTGTAAGTGAAATATTGTACTGGCTTGAAGTGAAAATGGTGTCTGCATGATACAGAATTTCACCTCTCTGTCCTCTGTAATATTTTTCCAGAGTGCATATTTCAGAAGAGTTGGAAAAACCCCTCACACAGTAGCACAGGAACTGGGGGCCAAGCAGGAGGAGACGTATTACGGTGAGATACCAAGTTATTGTGTTTCACTGTGCAATTTATACTTGTCTTGTTGTGCTGAAACAAATTGTGATTACATCAGTGACAGCTCTGTAAATTAGTGTAGATAACACACTGTTTCCTGCATTAAGGTCACTTTGATACAAACATACCACTAGATCATTTTTTTCATTCATTAACGTATGAAGTTGTGATTGTTTACAGGAAATAAGATCATTTTTAGTCTCAATACAGAGGAAAAAAATCCAGTTACATTAAAAACTGATTTGTAATGCTTATTTTATAGATTGTGGTTTAAGTGACACACGATTAAATTCTCATGTTAAATAGACACTCTCTTGTTTCCCCTAAAGGCCAAACACAACAAAGGCTCTAATCAGGAAAACACAGCAGACTCTGTAGCTGTTCAGAGGGTGTGCTCTCAAAAATAGGTCCTTGGTTTTTGCCCCAACCTATCTGCTGTGAGGTTCATAGGTCACTGCTGTCTCATATTTATAAACACTGTCTTGTCGACAGCCGTGAAGTAGGCTTGTAACCGCACTTAACGTCTGCAGCCTTGAGTCAGTACGGCATCATTTGCTCCTTGGCCAAACTTAATTTCACACACACCACCCATTCAGAGGGCACACAGTGGTAAGTAGCCTCGCTTCCAGTTTCTAAAGGTAACTTAGCAGAATGAAGTCGGTGTTAAGTGACCGGTTTTATTTGGTGTGGTATTAAAATGGTTGATTTGTTTACAGTTTTTAAAGGTGTTATGTTGCGCCTTCCAGTTTACAACCTGGATAGCTCATTATGAAAGTGTAAAAGTTGGGTTTAATTTGGCTGTTTTATAACTATAGCGTGTGCAAAAGAGTGACAGCATAACAACGTCATATGATGGGTGACAAATAAATTACCAATGATATAATATTACATCAAGTATTTTATTGCGTAGAAATTAAACAACGTTAGTGAAAACTGTTTCTGCAAAAGTTTTTTATCTTGTTATATTTGAAGAAGGAAGTCCATAACAGGCTGATAGTCATTAGCTGATAAGCTGTTGATGTCGTCTGCACAATGATCAAAGCTTTGAAGGATAAACAAGAGCTTAGTTTAAAGCCCAGCTGGATCTTTTTGAATTTTTATTCTCTGTAAAATATTTTCATGGGGTGAAACAAATACTGTATTGTTAGGAGTGTATTTTTGTTGGATGATTCACTTTAGAGCAATAAATGTGTGCTTTTTACGCTCTCCCAAAAACACTAAGTAACAGTGGTCCATTGTAAGTCTATCACCGATATGTTCTGTTTTTAAATGGGGCTCTTGTGCAGTGGTATTTAAGTGATCTTTGACTCGTTCTCTGTGTCCTCTCTTTTGAGTTTAGTTTTGGAATTTCTTGCTTCCAGAAAGAAATCAATGTGGACATATTGTGCTCTTTTTCTCTTGTTGTTGCTCCCACAAGCCGACAGTGTGCAATCTGTTGTTACTCGCCTTGACAACTGTGAGGAGGATCTATCACCCTCTTTGTTTTTAACATTTAGCCCAGTATCTGTAGTCTGCACAGCACAAATCTATTCCCTCAAGATGCACATGCTGTAAATCCAGTATAAACTTTGCTAACAAGCTGGCTGCCAAAGGCCTTTGTGTTTGTGTGTGTGTCTGGTCTCCACTGTGTGCCATTTTACCATTATCCAGCAGTATTCCTCATCTGACCTCGCTTTACTCCTCCTCCTTTTCTTCCTCCACCCCCACCCTCACCCCTCACGCATCAACCACCCACGGGCTTCACAAGAGACCTTATGAGGATCATTTGACTGGAATGATATTGCTGCTTCAGGCTTTTTAGAGTTGGGGAAAACAAGCAATTTGTTACACAATTCTCAGTAGAGAGTTTATTGTGCTCCAGAAGGCTCCCCGATTCAGTTATTAGATCTGTTATGCTAAGCTAAAGGTAGCCGTCTAGGTGGTTTGAAGGTGGTGTTTATGCAGACTTATGAATATTTTTTGTGCATATGTTTTTTTTTTTATATAATCATGTGAACTAATGCAGACCCTGTGACACTGAGATCGGTGAATGTCAGTGTGCATCACTGCTAGGGAAGCTCTGATTGGGCTTTTTAAGGCTGCTATTGATCACTGATTTAATTACCTCAGGATTATTCAATCTGATACTGGTCGTTCTGTTTACATACATGTTTTTACAGTATTTCCACACAAAAGTCAAAGTAAAAGCAATCACTCTGCCTCTTGTCTTTTAACCATTAGCATTTTGAGTGTGCTGTAAATTTACTTTGAGCAAATATGTAGCATTAGCATATGTTTTATAAACCCACACACCACGGCATTTATAGCCTAAGCTAATTTGTGATGGCCATCCCTAGAATAGCATTTAAAATACATAAAACTCATCAACAAATACACAGGAGGCAGTACAAAACACAAACTAAGCAAATACATACTAAAAGTAATGACTTTTAAATGGAATTTTATTGAGGTGATTTTATTATGTTGTAAAAGTCCAAAGTAATTATCCCAAATGTTTCACACGTGAAGATTTATGTTCCTGATATAATGTATAGGTCCTTGCATTGGACATCAATTTGATTATTTTGTGTGATGTTTGCACATATTTGCCATATTCAGATAGAAATCACTGTCAGAAAAATATGAATATTGTCAGGGCTTGACGCTAACTTTGTTCCCAAGGAGCACATGTGCTCCTAAGTTGAAAAAGTAAGGAGCGCACAAAGAACTTTAGGGGCACAATGTAAATTGATCAAATAATGTGTTTTCCGTAATAAACGTGATGCAAATAGACATTTACAAGCAAAATTATTTAATGAATTTATATACAAAATGTACAGAAAGGTAAAATCATCAAGTTTTGAAAAAGTATTGCAATTTAATTTTGTCTTTAATGTTATTATCTTATATATATTATCTTTGCAATATGATTATCTTATATAATGTTATTACTATCCTAAAAC